TTAGTCAGTTAGTTTGTTTGTGTCTGAAGAATAAAAAACCTTTTATTGTTTGCTATTTTGTAGTCAACAGAAATGCAGCCTTCAAAGACTGTATAGATGTGCCTTCATTATAAGTTATTCCACTGCCGGGACAACTGAGAGCAACTTGCCAGTTATTTACTTTATGCAAACCCAGCCAATTCCTGACAAAAACAATTAGACCCTGTCTCACTTGTTGCTCGACTTCTTCATGTTTGTACTTTGTGCTGTGAGGTTGCAAAGAAACAGATCAAAACACCCTGAATCACTTGCTGTAAAGACACAAACAGCACTAATTTGCTCACATGGAATTAGGAACATGCACTTTGAGTCATGATAGGTGTTACAATAAGAAAATATGACAAATCAAACTGCACACATTGTGATAATGGTTTGGGTTTTTCTTTTTTTAGGGAGCAAACCGTTGTTAGAAATCTAGGAGACAATGTTTACTTCCAATTACTGGCAGTAAATAAATAAGACGACAGAATGTAGCATCCACAGTTTTGCAGCCACTAGCAGAATAACTTATTGGGCATAATGTGGCACAATGGCTTTAAACACACTGTTGATGCTCTTGTGTTCTTTGTAAAACGTTCAGCTTAAGTGTTGTTTTCACTTGTGTGTGTGGTGCAGTAATTATGGTGGCGGTGGGTTGGTGAGGTATGATTTATTACTGAGGGTCAGCCAGTGACAGGTCCTGGCCTCCCTGTATTGGGTTGCCTCTAACAACAAGCCAGCCTCCATACACCCCACTCACTTAGCAGGCACACTGTGTTTATAACGCCTAACTTAAAGGACCTGGATTGCTTCCACCTCAAGCTTGAGGCTTGATAAATGGCTCATTGGAAAGCAGCACCAATCCCACCCACAAATGCAAGGATTTTTTTTTACAGTAGATTGTTTTTGTTAGAGAAGAGCAGGTTGGTGGATATGTTCGTGTATGTAAAAAATGTTTTCTTATACAAGACAGAAAACATCATATGAAATAAGTTGACTTCTTTTATTTTTGATAACCCCTAGATTTTATTTTCCTTCCCAGGTCTGCTGCCAAAGACACATCTCCCATGCCTGTGTTGGATGTCAGCAGTCTGTCCACCCCCCGCAAGCTTTTGGATTCATCACAGTACAGCACACCTGGATCCAGCAGTGGTACAGACTTTCAATCATTTTAGATGTGAGATGTAAGAAAACATAATAGACAAAAATTGGTGCTGGCTTTGCAGTTAACATAACCGTTTTCAGACACGACCTCCAGAGAATGTTCGCACAATAGGGTCCAGACTTTCTCTGGAGTTTATCTTTCACACACGAACAATTCAGCAGGAAATTCTCCACTCAGATGCGTTCACAACAACCTAGAAATCTGCATTTAGGTGAGGCAGGGGCAGGACGTCACATTTTAACTCCGCTTCTACAAGTATGGCACCGCCCTGAGATATTTGCATTATTTATGTCTTTTTCATTTTTGGGTCTGTCCTATGCTAGAAAAGTCTTGAACGGGCTTTTTCTCTCTCTCCTTCTGTGTTCTCACATGGGCTCATTCGTACATTATCCAGATCCTTCACTGGAGCACTGGCTGGGGAAACTCAGGAGAAAGCCCGGAGCGTTCTCACAGAGAGTTGGGCTGAAAGCAGCTCATGATAGTGATGGAAAAACAAAAAAACAAAAACAAGGGGAAATTTCATGAAAGCCAATAGCTTAAAAAGTTTGCTCTTCATTAAAATGCCATACATAAGATAACTATAGAGATAAACATATCAGTAAAGTAGTGTTGTCTATGGATAACAAAGTGTGTGGATTTCTGTTAGCAATGTTATTTTCACTCTGCTGATATTCTTGGTGATAATGAAGTCATTAGCATCACTTTGTCTTACAACCATTTGCATGTCATTATGGGTGTGTATTCCCTTCTCTCTGGCGCACACACACACACACACACACACACACACACACACACACCATTACTGGATTCACACACTTAACAGACAACACACCACTGATGCCTCATTGCACTTATACACACATACAACTTTGCACACAGACATACATACACCCAGATATCTTCCCTCGCAGTATATGTCATAAATGTCATAACATCTTCAACTATGATCATAGTATACGTTTCCCTCACTAAAATTATAATCATCTTGCCCCCCCCAGCTGTACCATTAGTCACCCAGCATCTCTGTCATCGCAGCAGGCGAAAAGCATTCATTACACTCAAACCAGTAGCCAGTGCTTCTAACAGAGGCTGGTAATGCAGACTGTAATTTTACTCAGGATTGTGTGAATTCTCGCTCGGTCGTATAGCGTCGCCGCCGTATTCCCTCCAGGCACAGAGCAAGACAAACAAGGAGATAATGAAAAAAGTTAATCCTGCAATAACTTGGTGTTCCCTTAGTGTTTCTGAGTTTTCATCTTAAGCCTGGCACTTTTTTTTATAAACCACCCACTCTTGGCATTATAAATTAGTGACTCACCGTTTCGTTTTTAGCTCAGTGGATACCAGGCAATCATACTGTAAATACCACTCAGCGTCCACAGACATTTTAACTTATTCACATACTGTGCGTAAGCATGTGAATTGGCTCTGAAAAAAAGGTAGAATGTGGCCAACATTTCTCTGCCTTACAATTGTTAAATCATACTGCTGTGTTTCTACCTGTCTACCTCCATCTTTATCTCTTTCATCGTTTCACTTATGTACCTTTAACAACACATCTGTGCATGCCATGACCTGTGGCACACAAACACCCAAACAAAAGCAAGTATAACACCATTAATACATAATAAATTACCATTCAATTCGCCCACCATGCCGTCCTAAAAGTTCAAGCTAAACCACATTTTTACCAACATTACGTGGAGAAAACTGTGGCAATTAGCTACCACCGGGCGGTAAGTGCCAATATACCGCCACACTAACAACCGTGGTCACGACACAGCAGCCAGCTTCCATCAGCGGCCTAGCTTTGCCATTTTGTTTAATAGCATTTGAGCACCTCATTTGTAGCTAGTAATTGTCATAATTATTACACAAACAGTATAGTTGGAATGGGGAAAAGAGGAAGTACGCCCAAAGTCCATTAACTTGCCATAAACATTAACTCTCTTAACGCGCTTTGATGGGGAATTGGGAGGCCCCATCTAATGGAAATTAGAGCATCACTCCATGCTGCCACTCTCAATTTAGCCGCTAATGTGGCTAAGTCATATGGCG